TCAAGACTAGGAGCAAGACTAGGGACGAAACTAGAAGCAAGAAAGCTAGACAAGATTGTTTCACAAGACACGACAGGATACTGTTCAAAACAGGTTTTATTGCAGAAGTCATCAGAGAAAGAAACTAGTCGCCTTTTCCAGTTTATGGCAGGGTTGTGCTTTTCAAGCCAATCGATACCAAGGATGACTGGGTGCTGGATACTAGTGACGTTCAATGACAAATTTTCACGATGATTTTCTATGGCTAGGGAGACAGGGGCATGGTGAGTGACAAGGCCGTGAAGGCTGGCCTGACCATCAGCCATGTTGAGACGAAGGGGAGTGGACAAGGGGACAGTGATGAGGTTATGTTTCGTGACGAGGCTCACATCGATGAAAGAAGCTTGCGCCCCAGAGTCGATGAGAGCTTTGGTTTGGACAGGGGGCTGACTAGGCAGGGACAAGGTTATATTAACTAAGAGGCAGATTCTAGGTCTTGAGGGCGAGGAAGTAGTGAGCATATTTCCTAGGATCCATTCCTCGTCGGAGCCTAGGCAGATTCGTTTCCCGACTCGGCTTCTAGAACGGATGCATGGATTGTCTTCTTGGTAGGGCAATTCAAGGCGATGTGGTTAGCGCCACCGCAATACAGGCAAAGACCCATATCTCTGCGGCGCTTTTTCTCTTCGGGTGTGAGACGTCGGGCACGCATGGCATCTACATCCATTGCCATAGATGGAGCCGCTGGGGCCAGAGTAGTGGTGCTCACTGGTGGGGGACGTCGGGCTGGTGGTGTCTGATGCTTGAAAGACTCGAAGCGGGGCCGCTGGCGACGATGTGATGACAGATTTCTATAGGCGTCGATTGCCGCGGTCTGCACCTCATGTACGGTCTTGAACTTAGACCACTGTGGCAAGAGCAGGCCATGGATTTCACTTGATAGACCTTTCTTGAAACGGGCCTTGAGGGCTCGGTCGTTCCAGCCACTGCGGGCGGCGAGGCGGCGAAACTCTGTTACATATTCGATCATCGAACCGGATTGACGGATGCAGGATAGTTGATGTTCAACATCTTCCTGCTCGAGATGGTCTCCGAAAAATTCTTCTAATGTCTCGATAAATACTTCGTAGGAAGTCAGGACTCCGGAGTCATCTTCGATTTCTCCATTGATGTACGGAGCAAAGTGCCGAGATGCGTCACCATCTAGGCACTGCAGGGAGTAGTTAATCTTTTCTTCGTCGTTGGATAGGGCGTCAGGAAAACGTGCGAAGACAATTTGTAGACGAGCACGAAAATCTGAGAGGGACAGCTCATCGCTGTTTCCCTTAAACTTGGTAGTGAGGGGTTGCGGGATAGCAGTACGTGGCGTAGGAGCTGTGGCTCGATTTGCAAGTCGGCTCAGAATAGACTGCATATCTCTTTCGAAGGAGCGCTGCATATTTCTCTGTTCTTGATGCTGGGATGCAAGGGTCTCGATGGCGCTACGTAGGGTGATTAGCCCTGCGGGGTCAGGATTACTGTTCAGTTGGGCGTGCTGTTGGTTCACTACATCTCGGATATTCTGGATTTGCTGCTGCATTCCGCTAACGGCTTCAGCATGGGACTGGAGATGAGCCAAGACTTGACGGGGGTCTACATTAGGATCTTGGGCAAGTTCTTCTAGGGCTCGTGGTGTATAGATTTCAGGATGGGGGTTCTGGGACATGATTGTGAGATTGGGTTAACAAGGGAAAAATATAATTTGCTTAGGATAAGAGTGGGCAGAGCAAGAATTTGTGGAGTCTGCAATGTCAAGGACTGACAAAGGGTTTGCAAGGAAAGGTAAGTGAATGAATAACAAGAATGATAATGAGCTGAGAACTAGAATGGATTCACGAATAGTTTTATTGCAGACTGAGGTTTACTATGTTACAAATCTCTCATATTTATACTTGTTTGACTGAAGCGGAGACGCGCTTCAAGAACTCTAAATAAAGCTTACTCAAATATTTCCTAAGGACTTTTACCATATGCGGAACTCCAAGTGTTGAGTTAACTTAATACACAGGATCCGAGGAAGATATCTGGTGCAATCTTATTTCAAGGTTCCTTGGCACTATAAGCCTTGGTTATTGGTTTATAGCTCTTCTAGAATCCTTGGAGCTATTCACGGAGCTAGAAAACTAGGAGACGCGACTTGGCTTGACAGGCAAACTATGCATGGAGGAATGAGTGAAGGAAATGAGCGGAACAAATTAATCAAGCACACGTGATCTTTTTCAGATTCGAATCAGACAAAAGTCATTCATCAATTCATGAGCTAGACATTGCTTGCTGTTCGTGACAGACTGTCATTTTCAGGAGCCAAGTCATTCAAACCACTTGGGCCCAAAATCGCCTGAACTGCCAGATTAATGATGTGTCCAAGGCATGGCACATGGTATAAGCCATCCTTGAGCGGCCTAATGTTTTTTATTTTTATTTATTTTTATTTTTTTTAAGAGAAGCGTTAGAGATAACTCATTACTAGATGCGCTAGCATTATTGAAAGTGACTGAGAATTACCATTCTACTGCCTTGGGATGCTTTTCAAGCTCTCGGATCATTTTGGACATATCTGACGCATTGTCGGTGGTGATACTTAGAAGCTTGTCACCAATTTTAAATCGATCGATGACCTTAGCCAGAGATTCCGCTAAGTTCTCACCTGTATGCGCTCCATACAATGGCTCAAATCCAATGACCAGCTCTTGTTGGCGCCAGTCATGATCAATCCAGTGAGCTGTTACCCCCAGGAAGTTGTCTTGGAAAGGGCTTGTCCAGCCATCAACGGTCAGTGATACCTTGTTAATATCCTCAAATAAGCTTATGACTTGATGCTCCATGTATTGGTATTTTAGCTTAGCCTATTTTTAATCCATCTTTTTGTCAGTGTTTGGTTGATGTTTGTTATAAAAAAAAAAATAATAATTGAAGAGTAATAATAATCATAATCATAATCATAATCATAGTAATAATAGTTTTACCTTGGTTGCCAAGGTGTCATCAGACGGTAGCTTTACTTGAGATGCTGTAGCCATTGTAGCATGGACTAGAAGCTCCTGGAGAGCAGTGCTTTTGACAATCGTAAATGGCTGCTTTGTTGTGATAACGAATCGGACAAGCAATTCGTCAAATTTCGTAGGGTCAAATACTTTTGGCTGAGAAATTGAATTAAGCATCTTGTCCATCGGGCCTTGCTTGGAGAGACTGCCATCATTGGCATTGCTATCTTTAGTGATGTGATGTGCACCATATAGACCCATATAGCGTATACGATGATTTAATTTACCACTCACGTGGGGCAGACGATATCTTATAGTATATAAGATGTCGTCTGTCCAGAAATAAAGACCCCTCTCTTTGTCCTATTGAACTTTGGTTCCATATACATAGTAAGCTATATCAATTAGGTTAAAACTTTGCATGATGTACTCGCCACAGATGCTGGATGACCCCTGAAGTTGACATATTCGATGAACCAAAGGTTTTCCCGCCATATCGTTGTCAGGTGCGTCAAAGCTGGCAGACATAGAAGTGTTACCAACGTCATAAACCTTAAGTTCATGTATGATAAAATTGCAATGGAGGTATTAATTTAAACATTAAGGTTAAGTTTTTTCCTTCTTTTCTTAATACAAAGTAATATGGCAAATGTAATCAATATATACTTCTTCTTCTTCCTCCTCGATAATTCGACGACGTCGTTTACTCATTTTAAGAGATGTTTTGGGCTGAATTGAGTAATGCATGAAAAGGAAAAGAGAGAAAAAAAAAAAAAAAAAAAGGAAAAGGAAAGGAAATGAGGCGAAATGAAGCGAATGCAAACACATTTGTTGTCCTGATGCCGCAGTTGAGTATTTAAGTATAACGCACCAGATATCTCGCACTCGTTGTTAGGCTTTATTTTCTATAAACATGTGTTTTAACCTTATCTTCATGGTAATATTTTTCTTAATCCACGATTTAAATCCACATTTTGATTAAGAGTGCCGTGAGAAAAAATTTATAAAGATTTTAATCGGTTTATCAATGTACCGAATGATTCGGTATATCAAATGAATTGAATCGGTACAATCGAGGCACCGAATGATTCGGTTTACCGAATGCATCGAATATTCGATACATTCGATTCGGTTTCGACAATATATATTCATTCGGTTTCGATGCGATATGAACCTTACCTTGGTCAATTCGATTTCGGTTCGAAGGTGTATTGAATCGAATGTACCGATTAGGAGCACTGGAACGCAATGAAAGGAAAATACAAATGGGAGGAAATTAGGTGTGTACTGAGTGAGGAAAACTAGAACAGAGGAAGCGAAGGAAAAATCAGTGAGCAGGGAAAATGGGTGCGTATAAGGAAAGGAAAATGGGTGCGTATAAGGAAAGGAAATCGGTGTGCGAAAGTAAATTGAAATGATTGATTCACAGAATGAGAAAAAGCTGTGCAAAGAGAGCGAGAGAGAGAAATAGGTGCACAGAGAATGAAATAAAAAATGGGCAGGGAATGTGTGCTGAGAGATAAAAGTGAAAAAAATTGGTGAGGAAAATAAAAAAATAATGGACAAAATAAGCGAGGAAAGAGAGAGTAAGAGGTGTCTAGAGAGAGAGAAAGAGGTGCACATGGAGGAGCAAAAATTAAAGATGTAAAGAAAGAGATAAAAAAAATAGATGTAACCTTGAATTAAATGTTTAACGTGTAGTTAAGGTGCGAAAACAAAGATTCTGAAGGATAATCAAGCAATAGAGAGGAAAATGTATGTATTACATATAATTGTATGATGGATGATGGGAATAAAAACGTGTGTACGTAATTTTATTTTTAGTGAGCACATCTCTTTTTTTTTTCTCACACATCCATCTTTTCTTTCTTTCATCCCTCTTCCTCTAAGCATTTCTCTTTCAATCTTCACATTAACGCCAACATTCTTGCTCAGTTCACTTTAATCAAATTCGCTCTTGCTGATTTACTGTCAATTACTTTTTTTTTTTTTTTTTTTTTTTTTTCAGTACGCAATTAAACCAAGATGACTCAAAAAATTAAGCTCTTTTGTATTCTCGACGGCGACTCTTCCGCATTTGAAGTCCAATTGGATGCTGATGACTCAATTGCTGCTCTCAAAAAAGCAATCAAGAAGGAAAAAGAACCTGAATTCGACTACATTCCTGCCGACAAATTGAATCTCTTCCACGTCTCTGTTCCTGATGAGGGCGCTACAATCAATCTCGCCAATATTGAATCAAAGGAGCTACTCACCAGAGCAACAAGCAAGATCTCAAAGATATTTGGCACATCGCCTCTGCCTGAGGAGACTATCAACGTCATTATTCAGCGGCCATTGGAAGGTAAGGGATTGGCTATTTGTTCTCAAACTTTTGTGTATGACATCATAGTCTGCAATTGCGTCTTTTTGATTGCTGCTTCCATTTTGAGCTTATTTAAATTCTAATTGCTTGCTACTGCGGCATGCAAGCATTTAATTACTTGCCATGTGGTGACGCTTGTTCTAATCATTGATTATGTCTAATGATCCATCTTTTTTTATTTTTGGTTTTGCATTATTGCGGTATAGATCCGTCTACTTCCACTTCGAGTAAGACTCATTTGTTTAATTGGTTCTCTTCTTTTTTCAAAAGGTTAATCATCGCACATGTGCTTGACGGCTACCTCTGATGCTTTTTCTTTTTCTTTTTTTCTTGCCAATTTCTATCATTGCTTCCTTTACCAACAGACTCGGAGAAAAAAAGGAGGGCCGATGACTTATGTGACTTATGTAAGCTAATTCTCCCTTAAGGATTGGAAACCGATTCTTTATTTTTCTCTTCTGACAGGTCTTGCTGTTTTTTTTTTTTTTTTTTTTTTTTTTTTTCTTCTAGTATCGCCAGTTTTGAAAAAGAAGAGATGGACTGTTAATGGAGCGATCCGATTCATTGATATAAAATCAGTCTATTATGTTGACACTGCGAAGCATGACGTGAACAGGAGAATTTTGAATGCTGTTACAAATCACGAGTTAGCAATGCTCATTGGTGCACGTGCATCTGGAAAGACAACAAGGTTGAATGGACTTATAACTCAACTAACTGAAAGTGGATACCGTTGTTTTATGTAAGTTTACCCTCATCTTTTGAATTTGTCTCTGATGTTGTACATACTCTTACGCTCATTCCTTCTATCTAGAGTTTCATTTGAGGAAGTTATCAATGATGAGTCTGATTTCTGGAGAATTTTTGGAAAAGCTCTTCGCCGCAACTATAAAGTCGATGACATTACAACCCAAGCTGATTTTCTCGATGCTTTCGGTCGAACTAAATTCAAGGACGAGAAGATTGTCATCTTGGTTGACGAGTTTGATTTACTGTTTAACGCAAGCGACGAGATCCGCAACCAATGCTTACAGGCGTTTCGAGCAATCCGACAGAACAACCATTTATACGCCATTGACAGTATTGTTGTATGCGGGACTTTTAGCCTTCAAGACTTGAGCTCAACAAATCAACGTGTATCTCCTTTCAATATCAGTGAGATTCACAGGAACCCGTATTTCACTCTTGATCAAACGCAGCAGCTCTTTAATGACTATGCGAAGGATGAGATGATTAAAATAGATGATGAGATTATTCGAGACTTACACTCGAAGTCAAATGGGTATGTTTTTTAAGCTTAGTTAACTCTCCACGAGTTGATGTGCCATTCTAATACAATGAACTGTGCTCAATGTCAATAGTCATCCAGGAATGATTTGTCTTTGTGGACGCTCCATTCATGAGGATCTTCGCTCGAAAGTCAACGACTCGACGAATTGTCTCGATTACGATACATGGCAGGTCTTCTCCACACACAATCAAAATGAGAGGATGTTTTCGTACCATACTTTTAGAAGGATGGTTGATTCACTTTTGAGTGAATCAGCTACAGATGCTGTTAATCTTCTCCGAACAGATTTTATTGGGTATCTCGGCGATATATCTATCACAGACATGGAACAACAGAGATTGGCAGACTTCCTAACTGCAGAAGGGGTGCTGATAAGACTTGATGGCAGTAACTACCGTATGGCCTCAGCATTCATTGACTCGTTTGTGAGGAGATATATTATTCCATCAAAATATCCCAACGCTCCTTCGGAGTCACCTCCAAAGGAAGGTCAAGAAGAATTATTGAATATTCTGGAGACTATGAAGATTGCTCTTCGATTTTTCGATAAAAACTTGATTATGCAGGCGGGAAGTCGATCATACAAAAGATCGGGGAAAACAGTTAAGGCTATGGGTAGATACAACGCCAGTGTCCCTCGAGAAAGCGTCTATGGCACGGAATTGATGAGAGTTCTCACCAACTGGCTAAACAAAACAAAAAAATATGAGATCATTGGCCAGTGGCACCTCCGTGAGCTTGAGGACCACAAATATAGTGATATTGTCATCAAGAAAGCAGGAGAGCCGACGGTTGTTATCGAGCTTTTGGCTACAGGAAGTCAATCTTCTATTAAGGACCATATCAGCAAGACGTCAACTTACAAACGTTTACTCTCAGCAGAAGAAGCTTGGGTTGTTCATTTTACCTGTGAGGACGACTATTTTAAGCACCCATACTGGCAAACCGACGCGGAACTGGACCAAGGGGTGAATTTGGTGCATTTCTGGCACGATGGGGATTTTAATACAGTGCGGATGAGTGCTCGCCGGAAGGACAGTAGTGGCAATACTCAAAGAATTGAAAATGAGCTGTTGACTGTCTAACAGCAATTCCATTTTTTTTACCCAACATTGTAAGGACGTCCCATTTTGTTGACATAGGCTTTATAATTTTGCAGATCTGTTCACATAGCTGTTACTTTGTATATTTCGCATTGATTGCATTAAAACATTCTCTCTTCATTAATGACAAACAATTTACTTTATGTATCTATACCTTAATCTATATTTATATACATCGTTTTTAATTGTTTTCGCTAAGTAAAAATAAAGTTTCTCTTATTTATTTAACATTTCTCCGAGTCCCCTTAGATCTGAGACTAGAGGAAATAAATGTTTGCTTTTGAACTTAATTCCATTACATATCACATGACAATATATTATTTTTTGAGCATATTTCGTTAAGATGTATTTATGTAAATGAAAAGATATGTAGATATCCATAGTGCTATAGGTAAAGTCGCTCGTTTCAGACCCGATTGGGTTATATCGACATGGGGCCGGTAGCTGGTACTGGAGCGCAACTTTTAAGAGATGGTTTTACGTTTTCTGGCGAAAGTTAATATCCGTAGTTAAGTGATAAATGCAACAAGACAGAGTATGTGACCAATCTAGACAACCATTTCAAAATTAGTTTTGTAAAAGTTGGCAAAGACGATGGAGCGCAACACAGATATACCCAAAAGCAATGGAACCATCAAGATATATGTATTTTTCAATTTGGAATCCAACGGTGGTAAAATCACTACTAGTTACATAGTCAGAAAAAGTAGTTTTCTTAAAGGAAAAGCGAGAAGGTCGAGGAAAAAAGCGATTTTTTGATACTCTATGCTCATTTACTCAAGAACCGCTGAATGGAATACCGAAAAGCAAGGCTCATATCATAGCTGTAGGCTAGGAGAACTGTTATCTGCTTTGACTAGTCTCTATCACTCAAGATTCTGACGCAATGGTCCATTGAGTGTGTTAAAAATGGGATAATCTTAGTTTTTTCTTTGTTTGACATACTTTACACAGGTGCTACTCCATGGATACTAAATGGATCTCCTTAAGAATAGTTTTAAATCAAAGCTAATAAGCTCTTTCATTGGCCGTCCCGAGAGCGGCTGCTTCCTAGCAATCTAGCAGGAGCTACTCATGCTTAAAGCCTGCCCAGTCATTAAAATCACAATTTTGGGTGCTATCTCTATAATACTGAACGGATCCTTTCCATTCTTATTATATCTGGTGCGCATCGCTGTCCTCTATTGTACATTTCATCGGCATGGTGTCATCTTCCCTAGAAGGATAGTTATAAGCATTCTAGTAGCTTCATTGATGGTTGCGTGTGAAATTTGAGTGAGATTTTGTGGGAGAAACCTTAATTTGGCTTGAATTTTTCTTTTGCATTCTTTTTTTTTATTAAAGAAACTTAAATCTAATAACACTGCCATTGCCGTTTCTTAGTTCCGGATGTATTGGGGATTTTTGGCACAGTATCTAGCGTACTTACCAGTGCTCCTATTCGAATCGAATTTCACTGATATCGAATTCGATTCGAATGAGGTAAGCTCAAATTCGATTCGAATTCGATTAGACAACAAAATTCGAATGCTATACGAATGGTTCGAATGATTCGAGTCTTCGATTTATTCGGACTATTGGCACAATGGTAGATGATAATTTTAAACTTTTTTTTTTTTTTTTTTTTTTTTTTCTTGATTGGGTGTAAAGTACAAGGACCATACTTTCGCTACGCGTAACCAGAGGTCCTATTCGAACCATTCGAACCATTCGAATCGAACCAGGATATGGCTTATTCGAATTCGAAGCTATTCGAATTCAATCCGTTCGAATCGAATAGGAGCACTGGCTGGAATCTGAAGTGTGATGTTGATCATTATTGTGATGATTGTTATTTCGATGATTGTTGTTTCGATGATGGTTATCATTGCTATTTTGATGATGATTATTGTCGTTATGATTTTGGTTTGATTGAAAGTTTTGCTGTCGGTAAGATGAAGATTGTCTTACGAAGTCATGATTTCGTGGGTGGTATTGCGGTGGAGAATGAGATCTGTGATTTGATAAAGAGGAGCTAATGAGTCTTGTAGAGCTCCAAGTATAAGACTCGGCACGACAAACAGCCAAGGTATCATTCCATGACTTGACTTGTGCCTTAATTAACTTCTTCTGTAGCCATGGATCAGAGATTCTCTGGAAATTCCAGACTTTCTCCGATTCTGGAATCTTGTCACGTAATGGATAATAGGCAGCTTCAAAGGTATGTACAAAATCCATTACATCTGCATTCGGTTTCATAGACAGATGATCGTACTTGTATCGTAACTCGAATTCATCGTCGATCTTCGCAAATTGTTCATTGAAATGTTGAGCAAAAATGGGCCAAGTCAATGTACCCTGTTGTTTGAGGTCTTCAATGTGACGAATACTCCAATCTCGCGCAACCTTTTCCATATGTAGGGCCACTTTAATTGAAAAATAATGGTCATTTACATTGGAAACATCGTACAGAGCGTTCATAGCTCTTAACCAGGATGATACGTCTGTGTCGTCATCAAAATACTCAATTCCCTCAAAGCTAAAGCGAGGATTCGTCGCTTCCATGTTGACATCTTCGTCCCGAATAGGAGAATGAGCAGAAACACTCGGGCGACGGGTAGCTTTGTGTGTCTTGGTACTGATTGGAGAAGTCATTGTTGATAAATAAAATATGTAGGATGTAACAAATTGAAGAATATAAAAATGGAACTAAAAAAGAAGGCTAAGTTTCTCTTTTTGTTGATTTTGTGATTTGACTTTTAAATTTTATGCAAAACTGTTGCTAGGATAGAAAAAGAAGGTGAAAGAAATAAAAAAAGTGGCGAAGAAAAATTTTCGCGTCGTAAAAAAAGTTCATTCGTAAAGAAAGACTTAAGTGAAGAAAAATAAAGAAAATAGCGAAGAAAAATTTTCGCGTCGTAAGAAAAAAATTTTAGTCGTAGAAGAGGACTTAAGCCTTTGCTACCATTTGACGTGGAAAGATCTGTCAATGATCCCAAAGATTGACAGAAAATGAACAAAATGATAATAAAAAGTTGGACGAAGTGCCAGAAGATAAATTCATAAATGGACAAAGTGCCAAAGGAGGATAATCTGACAAATAGATCACTAAAGGATCATAAATCAACAATGATAGTCCTGGAGAATGCTGCAAAATATCATCAAAAGTGAAAAGAGGGATCTTTAATAAATACAGATAAGAACGAGCATGACTTAGTAAAACTACAAATAATAATAAAGGTCGCTCACCTGCAAAATAGCACCAAAAGTGAAAAGAGGGATGCTGTTTTGCAAAGAAGCCAAAGTGATTTAAATACTAGGATTGATAAAGGAAATAATGATAAAAGTACTGAATGATGATGGAAATAATGAAGAAGAGGATACGTAAATAGCAGATTTACGACATGTGTGTCCTAAATCGACGCACCTTAAGCTCACGTCCTATAACAAGTGACGTCATGGTAGGTAGGACCAGAGGTATACCTATAGTGGTACCCTCAAACCCACCCCGTCCTGCCTGGACGTGAGCTCAGCCACCCGATCCTCCTCGCTATAATAAATAGTGGACTCTCCGTCCCTGAAGTGTTCCTTACCTTTATCTTGGTACAACACTTCAGGTATGCAACCTCATTCATCTCAGCACTAGTTACTTGTATAGTATTATACAGTGGCTTCCAATATTGTCCAAGTGTTTCATTCTTCCAAAGGAAAACTATAAGTGTTCAACAGTGAGCAGCGCTTGTGCCCTTGGATCCTAGCTGGGAGCAACCTGGAAGACATGCTTTATTTGCTCTAAACCTATTAGCGCTCCTGCTTGTTTCTGATAGCTTTTCACTACTTTGAAATTTTTCTCTCATTTGGACAATTTTTTAACCATCGTTTTTTTTCACCTATCAAAACTTCGTATTGCCCCCTTTCGCCCTTATGACTGCTAACATCCGCTCAGGCATACTTCTTATCAGATTGCGGCAGACCTCCTTCGGTGTCTCCTCCTCCCATATCTGGCTCACTCTTTCCCAGAGTTCCAGCATGCCTTCTGGAATGGTCCCATGTTCGCGAATTTTTTTTTTAAATGATCCCACAAATACTCAATAGGGTTTAGGTCTGGTGAATTGACAGGCCATGCCAGTATTCTACCTGACGCTCTTGTCAATCCAATAGAGGCAAGGTAGGTTGTGACTCTCTTAACCGTATGCTTAGAATCATTGTCTTGTTGGAAGATAAATTGCTCTGGATCAATGTTGTACCAATCCACAGTATTCAATAACTCGTCCTGGAGGATACGAATATACAGCTCGGAGTCCAGCATGGAGTCGATCTTGGCCAAGTAGCCTGGCCCATCCCACGTCATGCAGCCCCAAACCATGATCGAACCACCACCATGTTTGACTGTGGGCGAAACTAACTTTGGGTCAATATCGGCCGCCTTCACCTTTGGTTCTTTATTTGTTTCCACCCAAACATAGCGCATGCCATCAGGAGATATCCTACAAATTTTGGACTCATCGGACCAAATTACTCGCTTCCAATCAGCTTCGGTCCAGTCTTTGTGCTGGAGAGCAAAGTCCAGTCGAGCTTTGTTTTGACGTTTTGTTAGCCTAGGCTTCTTGACGGCTTTTTTAGCTTCCATGCTAATATCTCTCAGCGCCCGACGCACCGTATTAGCTGACACCGGATCTTCGTTCTCATCGTTATAGAGTCTGGTAGCATGGACAGCTGATGAGGCTACGGTGAAGCAACAATCGAATATAATATGCATTCCGGTAATCGAACTTCCGTGGCCGACCAGCTCTACTTTTACTCCTGGCAGGCCCTAATGTCTTGGAGATATTATGGACTGAGGACTTGGATATGCCTACTTCTGTGGCAACCTGACGGATGGACTTGTGCTGCTCGAGTAAATGGAGAGCATCCTCAACAACGGAAGCTTTGATTGGCTTCATCTTTGGAGTGTTTAGAAAGAGTAACGTAGGCTCCTAGAAGAGTGTAGGTGAAGAGTATCTACTCAAGTGTGTGGGAGATAATTTGAAAAAAATTCAGCAAAGGTGCGTAAAATAAGTGATGGTTATATAATTGTCCAAATGAGATTAAATACTTTTGTCAATGAA